CACCATAACGCGTAATAGTAAATACGCGAGGTTCAGGCTAGGCGCCTCGAGCGCCCGGCCACCTCAAGTCCGTCGGATCTGTAAAAGCCCCTAAAGCCAACAGTGGCTCATCAAGCCCAAAAAAAAAAAATCAGAGTTTTATGGTAACTCCGAAACGACTCCAGCGATTTTCATGAAATTTAGTATGTGCGTAGATTCGGGGGCGAAAAATCGATCTGGTTAGGTTTCATTTTTAGAAAATCCCAGTTTTCAGGGAATGAAAAATATCATTCGAATACGATGGTAAATTTCCCTAAAAAAATGTTATAAAAGCTCGGTTGGTAATCGGACGGCCCCGAAACAGAAGGCCGTGGTTCGTGTCATTTTCATTTACACACTTATTTTTTTACATTTTTTTCGATTCCAGATGATTTTGTTATTTTTTCCCTTTTTTCTAAAGTTCTTTCCTTTGTGAAAAACACCAGTTCATATTTTCTTATTATTACGTCGGTAAGGTCGAAAAATATTATACATATTACTTACATTACTCAGTAATTTGTATCTAAATGTAATTTCCAAAATACATGATTTAATAAAAGAAAAAGAAACCGAGCAAAGCTCGGTCCTTCAGGTACTTATTATAAATTAATCAAATTACAAATAAATATTTTTTTAGGTTAATTTATGCTATTTTTGTTACACGACTCGATTATATTGATATGAGCAAAGTTTTTGAAAAGAATAACAGGACATTATAAATGAAAAGGTAAAAAAATGGAAGGACTAAAATAAAATTTAAGATGTCCAGTATACACGTTTTCTTCATCTAGCTTCATTGACGAGGACATAAAGAGTTTTTTAAGTCAGAAGCCTGTCGTAACCGTACTGAATACGAATGAGTTTAACTCTTGAAATATTCGTGCTGCATACCCCACTCGGATTCACACTCACGAACTCAAAAAATAAATCGAATTTCCGGCCCCCAGATCACCACTAATGTTAAGTAAAAATTTATAGGCAATTTTTAAGCTCTTGAATAAAGGATGTTAACTGCTCACTTTTGCTCCAGTTTTATTAATAGTCGTATCATGACTCAAGGGTGGTAGGACCACGCAAGTCTTCGATGCTGCACGAATGGGCAGGTCCGTCCGGGTAAGTACCACGAGATCACAGGAGGCTGGCATAGAACGTTTCGAGCGTTTACTTCTGCGTTTTGTCTGGTGAGTGAGGTAGCCGGGGCAGGCTTTATTAAAATGTCGCAATGCATCTACAAACAACCCTACGGGTGTCGCAAATATGCCATGCGCGGCGGTTATCACTTAACATCTGGTGAATCGCCATCCCGCTTTACACCTTTTCACAAAAAAAATTGCCTCTCGATTGACCCATGCTTTCATATTAAAATAATCTTAGTATTCATTTATATGCGGTTAAGATAATTCTCGTGATCTTTTAATGCTCACGGTAAAACTTTTCTACTATAATAAATACATCGTGTGCCTTTATTTACCTTTAAAATGCATACAGAATATTTTATAGTTTTATTTTAATAACCTCAGGGTCAACGTTTACGAGCATACATAAATTTCTTTTCCGAGATAATATCTTTTACTACTAACGCCTCGCGAGATATTTATACTAAGATGTACAATGATTGTAATATCTTCATGCATAAAATACTTTGCTTATATTTTCCACCTTCACTTTTAAAGTTTAATTTTACTTTCGCACTATATTATCATTATCATACGTCAGTAGGGGCCTCCGAGCGTGAGTTATAAACTTGCGTGAAAAGACAAGAATGAATAAATTTTTATTGAGCTAGTGTCTTTACCTAAGCCTAGATCAGGCATCTTTTCACTGAGGCAACTTTCAGTTGCCTGACAGATATCTTCAAGGATGCTTTTATCATGCTCATGAATTGTGTAGTATTAATAGTGATACAATGCATTGACACTTCTCCTTGAACACGTGGGTGAACCTAATAACCCTTATTATTTTTTTTTTTTTTCATAAAGATGTTTTCGTTTAAAAATTTCTTTTGAAAAATATATACTAACTCCATAAATCGATGATATGTTTAAATGAAAGATGGCCACGTGAAGTTTCCGGTAGTTTCCGATCAAGATTTTTCATTTGAAACCCATAAAATAGAGGACAATGTGTAAACTATAAATCGCCATTTTGCGTCGGACGCCATATGGGTTTTTAAAACCGTCATTAAGATCATCGTGCCTTGCACTAAATGATTTTGCGTCAAATTTATTTTGCAAAATTCCATTACAGACCCCAATAAAGGTGAAACTAAATTAAAGCTTATAAAACATACCCAAAAATTTTATTTGTATTGATAAAGTTTTATTTCTAAAAGTTTCTATTATAAATTTCGGTATACATGTACGCTGCTACTCGTTCATTCATAAATTATTTGTAATTGCTAGCAATAGTATATTATTTTCATTTGATACAACCTACGTAATTCTAATAGAATATGATAAAATATTAATTAACGGTTAATGAAACATTCATTAATATACGGCATAACATCTAAGGCCTTTTATATTTAGTACTGTAATTAAGTTTTGCGTTATTCGAAAACCTAAATCATTTTCTGAAACACGCAATTTACTACTTAATGTCATATTTTGCTCGATAAATTTAACAGTATCCTATTTGTAAAAGTAGTAATAATCGTAGTGTCGTAGTGTAGACATGTAGTGCAACAATAATGAGTGAAATGCAATTTTTTTTTAAATATTTAAGGCATATCTTTAAAATTCGTAAATAAAAAGAAGTTGAAAAGTGCGAAAATCTAGCAGTATGGCATATGCGTCATCAGTTTCACATTTGAGACACATTTGAGACGTATTTGTTATATTAGCTGTCGCATTATCATGTCGAAGAAGGATATTGTTGCGAGAACGCTTTTGACGAATTTCTGCAACTGTGCCGTACATAATGATGTGGGTAAAACGCATCGCGGAGGTATTCAAGCATCATTTAAGCATGGAACCGTAATAGTATAAAATAGTAGAATTCTCCAGAACACGAATACTGACAGCTTTATCACCAAACGTCTATTGATGTCTACGGCGTCTTTTAATTTTTTTAACTGTTTGTTGACTGACGCTACGGCGATAAACATAATACTTTGTCGAGTGAAAATTCTCAAGTAGGCCCCTATGTAAAAGAAAAATACACGATATCTGTATCTATCATGTGGAAAGAGTATTATATTGAAAGGGTTTTTATTTTAGTTCCACTTTATGTTTAATTTAATAACAGACACTGGATATTCCAGCAATATACGGCGACAGCACATCATCATCATTCTGCCCTTATCCCACCTGGATGGGGTCGGCACAACGTGTGAATCATGTTGTAAGCGGTTTAAAGAATATGTGATTGAACTAATAACCCTAGGTATAATAATAAAATATTACATTATAATATCATTAAAAATATAACGATTAAATTATTAACGATTATATCATAACAAACTGTAAGGCTTAACCAAGTCGTTATATAATTTAAAATTGAAATTGATATTTGATATCAACATAACAACTGCAAAATTGCCCTTCTTGTGCTGAGAAACTTTACAAACGTGAAGATAATTAATCAGTGACAAAATTACTTGCAACATATGCTTAGATGACAGTGTAACAGTCGTGCAAGAACTTGAAGAGTAAAGATAGCACTTAAATGCATATCGTTAGAGCTACCAGCTGGCACATCGTGTGAATCTTAATCTCGTATTTTGTAGTTAAGGGTCCCTGAAAAGAAAATAAATTCGCCGCCAAGCCTTCATTAAGCGGGACATGCAGAATAATGATTATCGTTATTTCAGACAGTTATTCCGATCATGTTGCGAATATGTCTATTAAAGAAAATAAGAAAACGAAGTATTCGATAAAAATAGTAAAAGCAATGTTTATTTTGAATATGAGGGCGCGCAGAAGTTGCAGAATAATTACAAATGAAATAATTTTTTCTACTCATTGCTTAGAAATTATATTAAATGATTTTCCTTTAATTAATTTCCTTTATTAACAATTAAATTTATTTTTAAGTTATCCATGAAGTTATTGTATGCCTTACACATTCTTTTAATGCTAAAAATATTTAATAAAATCGTTATTTACTTTAATTTAATATATTATCACGTGCTCAGCGGTGAAAGAAAACATCGTGAGGAACCTGCATATTTTCGAAGTAATAACAAAAAAAATGTTTCGAAGATATGTGAAGTCGACCAATCTGCAGTGGGGCCGCGTGGTGGACTATGCCCTGATAGAGCCCTATAGAGCCCTACAGAGAGTATGTACAGAGGAGGCCTTTGCCCAGCAGTGGGACATGTATAGCCTGATACTTTACTTTTATTTATTAGTTATGGTAAATAGCTATTTTATTTTAATCTTGCTGAATTGTTTTTTGTTCTAGTAACACTGATATTGGTATAAATTTATCAGTATATGGTAACGAAACAATAAGACTGCTGAACTCATGTTTAATGGATGTATGTACCGACTAGTTTCGGACCTATCAAGGACTTTCATCAGACGAAGCTGAATGAACCAGCGAATTCATCACGCTGGCTCAGGACGGGGCGCGACACTATCTATGGAGACATATCTCGTTAAAATTATCGTTGTAAAACTAATTATCAATAAATGCAACGCATTGAATTTATTATTTAGTCGGTGTGACAATCAGAAGTTTAGCTTGGCGTCTGAGCGCAAATCCGGAAGACATCGTCCATTTTTTTTACTTTTAATGTTTTGTCTTAAGTGCAGATATTAAACACCATAAAAATTTTAATTTTAGATAACACTGGTGACATCTCTCTACTTACGAAAAGGGTGTTTTGTAATTCTCAAGCCTCGCTTTTAGTCCCTCTGTATTCACGCATATATACAATTCAATTATAAAATAATGTGATTTAAAAGATCTTTCCGGTTTAGTATGTAAATGCTTTGCAAAACACTGGTTACTGGGACGCCCGTCATATAGTAGAGATAATGGGGCCAAACAATTACAAAATAGGAGGTAAGGATGGCGAAATACTTCATAGACATATTGATCAATTAAAAAGGAAGTCCTTAAGACCTCCAGTGACATGTCCGTCAGAATTAAATTCGGAACACAGCACAAATTCAATCAACGAATTACCGACGACGAAGGAAGTGGGGGATGTCCGGTCGGAGCAGGTGGCATCTCGTGATGAGCCGGGGGGGTTAGTAGGTTCGGAGGTCGAATTAGTACCGGAGGTTTTGGCGTCCGAAAAAGTCAGCGATACCCCGGGATCACCAATATTTGAAGACGCCTCGCCCAACGTGACACCGCCCCTACAAGGTCGCCCTATATGGCAATGCAGGCTTAGGAAACTGATTAAACATTATGATTAAAAAATGTTAATTAGTATATAGAATAAGCAATAAGCTAATAAATTTTGTGTGGAGGAGTGTAATGTAAGGTAGAATAAGTTAGTTCATAAGCTTGTACGAGGGTATATGTAAACCAGATATTGTATAGCGAGTCATTCTAAGAATAAACGGTTATAAGTGAGTTGTGTTTCTGTGTCTCCCGCTTTCTAGAACATTACAGTTACTTTCTCTAAGTTACGATGATACTGAAACGTTACTGTTGGGGTAACTACATTTTGTTACTAGACGCTCACACACGCACGCACACACTCTCTCTCTTTCCCTCTCTTTCGCACGCACACGTGTCTTTGAGAGCACTTGCACAAAGCATACAATTCAGAGAAGCGATTGATTTCCATTTTCTTTAAAGCTATAATCATCAATTAGTTCGTTGTTCTTGTTTTACAGTTTTTAGGTTTCCCACAAGAATTGCTATTTTGGGATCCATTGTTTATGTTTTGTACTTGACGACCCGAATGGCGTAGTGGATAGTGTACCTGCCTCCTGCGCTAGAGGGTGTGGGTTCGATCCCCACTGCCGGAAAAATATTGTGTGATGAACAATAGTATTTTTCTAGTGTGTGGGTGTTTATATATGTATAATAAATGTATTTATTTACAAAAGAAAAGTACGTTTACGTACTTTTATACGTGTACGTGCCCATAGTACAAGCGTTGCTAAGTTTAGGAATATAAAATGTTGTGTAAAAATGTGTCCTAAAATATTTATTATATATTTATTAATATTAGTTATAGCGTCTTGTTTACTAAAATTTATTACTAACATATTTGTATATGGTATACTTACTCGTGTTTTTGTAACTTATTTTTCTTCATTTTTAGACAAAGAAATAAATAAAATCGTGCAGCGACTGTAATATTGTATTATACGCGATATGATATCCTACAAGTGATCGTTCAGTCAATAATGGTTTCTTTTCATTCCTAATATATGTTCGAAAAGAAATTCAATATACAAACGAGGAGTCGTCCCACGCGCCTTGAAACCATAAATATGCAGCAATGTGAGCTGAAAAAGCTCTGAAAAATAACATTTATCCAACATCAATGTACGATTGTTTATGAAAATAAATTATACATTTATTTCTAAAACAACAAAATCCTGGTGACATCTTAAAGCAATTAATGTAATATGCTATATTTAATAAAGTGATAATAATAGACATTAAAATAACCCCGCTGTATAAGAAAAGATTTTTTTCTAATAATCTTTTTCTCTAACATTTTTGTATTAAGATATTTTTTAGTTTCACCGTCTTTTGGCTTCGCGCCCAGACGCCTTACCAACTAAGTTAATACGTTATGGTGCGAAAATCTTGACATCTAACTACGTACGTTCTATTCAAATCTTTAGTAATACTCGGCGCGATCTAGTTTGCATCCTTTACAGCATGTAACGCCAAAATACCATTCAATGATGAATATTTGTAACGAGAGATGTCGCCATTGCTATTGAAATTTATTAAGATTTATTTGCTTTGCTTTCATCATGTCCCTTTTTGAGGGTTAACAAATTTTACACTCATATTTTTTCCAAATGCGCCATAAGTAGTGTAACTTTAATGTTAAAAGAAGAACACAAACGTTCTGAAAATACTTTTTTACGTAACTAGCTAAATCTCGGCAAGCTTCGCGTTGGCTCACTCTGATTTATGTCATCAGGGGTGAAAATAAAAGTGTTCTAGTGAACATCGATTTTCCCTCCTTCCGTTGCTGTTGGTTTGGTATGAAAATAAAGAACGAAGAAATGTTTTCACTTAATTTTTTTGTTGTAAAACTAGTGAATAGATTCTACAATCCTATTTTTGTCCGTTTTCTGCATAAATTTAAATATGCTTGCTTATTTCTGCGCTACCAAAAGATATAGGTACTGCCTAGACTTTTCACTGAATGTAGCGGTACCTCTTCATTTGGTGGCGTTTTATTTCAATGCTGGTGTTTGATAAACACAGACAACGTTCTATGGCACTCTGATGGCTTGAGACCAATCGAATTTTTGAACATCTTTATTAAACTATTGTTAGTGATTTGATGCTGTGTTTGGTAATTCTAATCGCCCTTAAGGAAAAATTGGAGAAATGATGAATCAAACAGATTTTTTTAAAGTTAACCATTCAAACTGTATAATTATAATGATACTTTTAATTACTAATCAGTATTTACGACGATAATATTAGGTTAAATTATAGAATCTCTATTATGCTTTACAACTCTTAAATTTACCTAGTCGGGTCATAATTTCTGTCACATGTTTATTGTGAAATAATTGACACATGTTTGTTTTTACAGTAACCATTAAAACCCCAAAGGAACTTATGTTTATTCTTATGCTAACTGAGCTTATTCCCCACGATTTAAAATTCAAGCCTTCAATCCTGTGCGGTTCAGTCGTCTATAGCGGCAAACACGAGGATCATATTAATTTCGACGGCTGCTTTGATCAACGGTGTCTGGAGTGACTCCAAATCAGGATGAAAATTTAGACAAAGCCTTTTCTCCAAGTGTTATCCTGGGCATATTTTATAATCCAACGGATTTAAAACCGAAAAAAAAATGAAAACCAGTCTAAACCGAAAGAGAACCTGTCTCCCTGTTGGATGAAGTTTTGCAAAGAATTACACGGTGTTTGCGTCCCGCGTGCTGCTTCAACAAATTGTGGGATCTCTTCAATGTCAGGTTCATTCTTTTTTTCTTCGACAATCCCTAAGTCCCCATTTAACACCTTTTCACTGTGATTACGCTTAACCTCATTTGAAAGGCCAACAGATTTACTTACGCATCTTTGGATTCGCACCTTCATAGCTTTTGTCACTACAGTCCTAATAGTTCGAGGCCGACCACTTATTTTTCTGTCTTCTACACTTGGGATTTCTTTATTGTATTTCATTTGGTGGAGCGTAAGTGAATCTTTTGATTATATTCAAATTTTTCCACAGCAATCTGATTTTTGTGCGTAACCGCACCGATGAAATGCGATAACTGCAACTCGGTCTTCTTTAAGCATCCTCTCCCTATTGAAAAATGAATAAAATTGGAAATAATGCACATTTTTATTTTCATAAAACATTTGAAATTCGGATTCAATACATTGATATATTTGTGGCCAGTTTTCAAACTTCAAAAGTTTTCATTATGTGACAGAACTTAAGACTCGACTGGGTTGTATAGTACTAAGTTTTTATTTTTAGCTGTCTTGATTTTGATTTACATACATGGATATAAAAACAAAATTAGAAGCATGGAAATAATGTTTTATAACCATGCGCAGTGGTTAAATCGATGAGTCAGTTACCATTGATTCATAATGTTGAGCTTTTGTTGTTAAACATTTAGATGGATTGAACAAACCATATCCACATAAATAGGAGGTTTTTTTAACCCCTAAACTTCGAACTAGTTAATAATTTGTAACAGATTTCTATTCAAACACGGTTCGAAGTAAATTCCTATATGTATTTTAGATATGCACTAGATATTCTATGCAAACGAAGGAAACTCCTCACTTGAAACCAGCTTATGTGAACACAAACTTTGCAATTTGTAATTGAATGTGTGATAGAGTTTAGTAACGTCTAATGAACGACTAAAATGTCTTTTTATACATAGGATAGTGTAGTCAAAATATAAAACAACATTAATTATATCAGACTTTAGAAATTTCTTTTATTAGTTAAAATATTCATGTTTATGAATTAATTCATTATACATGAATACTTAATTTAATTATGTGTTTGTAGCGTTTTCCTTTCTTTGAAAGTGTCGACGTGAGCTCAAAACTTTATTTACAATGAAAATGCACCACAATATGACGAAAATATATGTATTTAAAAGGTAAATCATAGTTATGAAAAATCAAAATAATCTTTTCGGCAATTTTCCTGGCACAATGTAAGGCAATATTACATTCTTATAATACATAATACTGAAGTCAGAGTATTTTTGGATCGCATCGAAATTAATTACCTGTAAAAAAAAATTATAATAACTTTCTGTAGACCATAACCTAACATAAAATAAAATGCCTCTATTACGCACCGCACTTTTTATCCACCACAGACATTTTCCCGCTCGTGAAAAGTAAAAACGTTTTATCGTTTTACTTATACTGTGTCATTCAAAAATCATTGTCGATGATTTGTCATTGCATTATGCGCGTATTGTAAAAACATAAAACTTATTCCCATTTCCAAATTTTAACAAAAACTTAGATGCACCGTACTTCTTTCTTGCTTATTGAAAATGCAATTGCTCTATTATCAACACATAGATAATTTAGTAACTCGTAGTAATAGTTGCTCGTCTTTATTAAAATATCTGATAAATACACATATCTTCAGTTATATTTCATTTATTTACATGTTAAAATAATACACTTATTACTTTAACTGTAATTGCTGTTGGTATGTAAGTGTAATGATCAAGTAGGCAAACCCCTACACGGCAAATCCAATGAAACTTTTTTTTCTCTTTTAAACACTTGTACAAAATTTGTCCTAAAAATCAGCCTTCGTTTCTGAAACTTCGATACATCAACAATTTTTCCCATCCAATTCATTAACCTCCTTATCTTCGATGCTTGTTGAACATATTAAGTAAATATTGAGTTTAATAAATTAACATACTTTTAAACAAAAGAGGTATCTTAAAATTAAAAACCGTCGAAAATAGCACACATGCGTAAATAGCCAACATAATAGAAATCGCCATGATTTATAATAATTAATCTCTGCATCAGTTATAATAAAATCGCACCGTGCGTAGAATAACGTTCTGTGGTCACATAGAACGAATTTGATTTTATCATTGGAAAGTCTTAATTATTGTCTACGCTTTCAGATGACATTAATTTTTTTTTCGTCTGACTTATAGATATTGAGATTCAGAATAGAACAACGTTCTATCTGATTTATGCTCCGCAGTACAAGGACATATATACGTGTAGACACTGTTTTTTTGTAC